ACCTTTGGCCTGTCTTTAAACATAAAAAAACACGCGGTTCGCCTGATTTCCCTTCCCCCCGGAATGCAGCAAAGACTATGACAGAATCCCAGTAGCCTGTCCCATCAAGTCTGACCGCACTGAACTGTGTACTAACACTGCAATAAACTCGCCTCATGCCAGCAAACAGCTGAAGTGACCAGACTAGAGAATGTTTAGGCCCTATATTCACAAATAATGAAGATCTGGTATGGTACACTGTTGAATGACTCACGAAATCGCAATAACGCTTTTTGCAAACAAACCACGGAACGGGTGGAGTTTGAACCCACGGCAAGTGTCTTAAAACTCACAGGCCAGTGTGTTAACCACTGGACCAAGCGGTTAACACACCGGCCTGTGAGTTTAAGGACTCACTTGCCATAGGTTCACACTCCACCCGTTCCGTGACTTGAACAACGCTGAAGAAGAGAAACTTAGACCACAACTCATACATACTCACTGGTCCTAATAACTAAAACACTCAGTCATTAAGATATATTTAACAAATTTAACCTTGAGATCATCTGGAAGCTCATAAATGGTGAGCTGACTGAAATATGCTGGAAGACAATATTACAAACAAGGACCTGAACCAGTATTTGAAGACAATGAGCTCAGTGACACTAGAAGTATGCTCCAAACACTAACCATTACGAAAAAATAAAACCTTTGTATAAATTTAAAATACTAAATTACTGGGATCCCCTGAAGTCACTTGAGCCGTACTCCTTAGACCGAGGTGAGAAAGATACATGATAATCAGCACCTGGATGATTCTGGAGGAATTGTTTCCAAATCTGCACACACCGAAATCAATATACATGAAGACTGGCAGACGGACATGCCAGACTCTGCCACGTATTTCAATATAACGCCTCCATAACAGTATAACGTTGTATTTCTTGCTACCATCATTCCTAACCGCGAACTCAACAAATGGTGGCAGTAGTGGGTACGTAATTTTGGTAATTAACGTCGATGAGAAGACCGTGTGGAGACCGTGTCACGCTGGGGGACGCCGCCAAGCCAGCAGCCCTCTTTCCCCCCCCCCCCTTCACAGCATTCCAACAATCATCGTCTTCCTGGTTCGTATTGCTTAGTGGCTTGTATGCAGACTTTCGAGAGGTGGACCAGACTTCATGCAAATTAAGCCAAGCCAGGTTACGCCAGTCTCTACAAGACAAGAGGCTTGCCAGATGGATAAAGGTTCCTCCAGTGAAAACCAGGAGAACGATGAGTACACAGAGACCTGTGAATGCAGTGACCACGACTATTCAACATTCTTACTTCATGCATAAGGGAGCTTACCAACAGACCCTTGGCTATCTTCAAGAGGAACTCGACAAATTCCTGATCAGCCGGGTTGTGGTGCATACGTCGGACTGCAAGCGGCGAGTATTACTGGCCTGTTCGATCAGGCCAGAACCCGGAAGCCTGGTCTGGGACCGGGCCACAAGGGAGGTGACCTCTGGAAGTGACTACAGGTATGAAAAAGTCAAACATAGAAAGGGAAGCAAATTCTAATATGGGTCAGGTATTTTTTTTTCTTTTTGTAAAATTAAGAAGGTAATCTTCGTGTGTTCCAAATATACCATGGAAAATATGTCATGGGAGTGTGGGGACGGGACAAGCAGGGTGAGAGAGCTGGCAGCGTAGGTGACCCTGTAGCAGTGTTGGGTGAGCGCAACACACCAACACCGCCTCTGATCTAAACAAAACCCACATTATTGACAAATCAATCTCTGTCTTTCAGTTTTCTATACACACGTTATTTAACCTTGGACATAGCTACGTTATTAAGTGAGTGTGCAAACTCATACCAGTAAATTATGGTGTATAAATTAATAGCAGAAGAGGCTGCATTCTGAGGCTAGGAAGTGATCGCTCAGAGGGTATATATAGGAGCAAGTAACTCGTCCCTCCACCACAATACTTCCTGCCTTTGTGCACTTTTATCCACCCAACTCACCACCACCGGAAATTCTCATTCTCGAAAAATGAATTAATTTAACATTCACTTTCTTTGCATATAACAGAAATAAATTGAAGTTTTTATTTAAATAAAATTATAACCCTAATTTTTAAAGGGGTGGGGGGTAAGCCAGCGGAAGGTCTCGGTCAGATGGCGAAAACCTCCAACGGTGGGTCATTATATGACTAAGACCCGGGTCAGGAAACACTTGTCCTGTATCCTGGCGAACCTTAGCCTAAGTTTTTATTTTATTAAATTTACAAATGGTTTTACAAACAATAGAAGAAATTCAAATAACGATTATCAGGGTGAACACAGCAGCACACACAGATATTAAATTATATGGAGATGAAAAGCTGTAAGCCTTCTCCCTGAAAGCTGGCTGCCTTGGATCAACGTGTAGCGCAAGCTGCACGCCAAGGTAACGTCCAGTGTGGCGAGATTGGTATAGCACTGCGTACCTTGTTCCAAGGTTCATAGGTTCGAGTCTCCTTCAGCCAGAGATCAGTGTTTGTGTATATTTCGCCTGCTCTTGCGAATTCCTTGTATATATATTATAAATATATAAATTGGAGAGTAAACATTGAGAGTTCTAATAAACAGTCAAGCACCTAAATTACTGAGCGCACTTCTAGTCCCTACAACTGTACTCCTTAGTGCGTAGGCGAGAAAGATGCATCAAAATCTACACCTAGAAGATACTGGAAGGATTGATACTAAACATGCACACCGAAATTACTACTTGTGAACACACAAGCTTGGCAGACCGTGTTGGATACCTCCAGTGAAAAGCAGGAAAGCGACGAGTACACTGAGAGAGAACTCAATAAATGTTAGAGGACCACGACTCTTCGATACCCTCCCTTCAAGCATAAGGTGATGTTCATAATATCATGTTCAAAGAGGACAAATTCCAGCTACTCCGTTGTAGGAAAACTTGAAGGGAGTATAAAACAAATTCTAAATACACAACAGAGCGAAAAACTAATGTGAAGAACTTAGGAGGGGTAATGTGAGGGGATCTCACCTAGGACCACATCAGTGTCATTTTCACAACTGCAAAGAAAATGGTAAGATGGATAACGAGAACCTTCAAAGCAAGGGATGATCCTCTTTTAAGTCACTTGTTCTCTTTAGGCTGGAATACTGCTGTACACTAACAGCCCCTTCCAAGGCAGGCCAAACTTCAGTTTTGGAGAATGTACAGAGGACCTTCACTGCACGTATGAGTTCAACTACTGAGAACATTTGAAATCCCTTGACAGGCATTCCCTGGTGTGCAGGCGAGAAAGGTACATCATAATTTACACCTGGAAAATCCCAAATCTGCACACAGAAATCAAGACTGTAGACGGTGCAACATTATCCCAAATGAAGGGCAAGATTATCGTGAGTACACTAAAATAAGACGCAACAGATATCAGGGGCACCAAGACTAACAGCCTCCCAGCATTCATATGGGGAATTACCAACAGACCCTAGGCTGTCAAGAGGGAACTATACAGATACCTAAATTCAGTGCCTGACCAACTGGGCTGTGGTTCGTACGTTGGACTACTTGCGACAGTAACAGCCTGGTCAATCAATCCCTGAGCCATAGGGAGGCCTGGTCATGGATTGAGCCACAGGGGCGTTGACCCCCGCAACACCCTTCAGGTAATATTCGCTCAGGTGAGTATGTTAACCTTCAGGTACAGAGGTGAGGGAGATAAGTGTTAACATGGCCACAGTGAGGGAGATAAGTGTTAACATGGCCACAGTGAGGGAGATAACAAGTGTTAACATGGCCACAGAGAGGGAGATAACAAGTGTTAACATGGCCACAGAGAGGGAGATAACAAGTGTTAACATGGCCACAGTGAGGGAGATAACAAGTGTTAACATGGCCACAGAGAGGGAGATAACAAGTGTTAACATGGCCACAGAGAGGGAGATAACAAGTGTTAACATGGCCACAGAGAGGGAGATAACAAGTGTTAACATGGCCACAGTGAGGGATTCAACCATAACGTTAACATTAACCTACACACCGAAAGTGATGACAGCTGCTGCTAAAATGGTTCACAAAATTAAAGGAATTAAGAACACTGTTAAGGTTCACACAGATGAGAAAGTTAACAATGTTAAGGTTCACACATTAAGGAAGTTGGTGGAGTTAACAATACTGTTAAGGTTCACACAGGTGAGGAAGTTAACAATGTTAAGGTTCACATAGGTGAGGAAGTTAACAATGTTAAGGTTCACGAGGAAGTTAACAGTGTTAAGGTTCACACAGGTGAGGAAGTTAACAATGTTAAGGTTCACGAGGAAGTTAACAATGTTAAGGTTCACACAGGTGAGGAAGTTAACAATGTTAAGGTTCACGAGGAAGTTAACAATGTTAAGGTTCCCGAGGAAGTTAACAATGTTAAGGTTCACGAGGAAGTTAACAATGTTAAGGTTCACGAGGAAGTTAACAATGTTAAGGTTCACGAGGAAGTTAACAATGTTAAGGTTCACGAGGAAGTTAACAATGTTAAGGTTCACGAGGAAGTTAACAATGTTAAGGTTCACGAGGAAGTTAACAATGTTAAGGTTCACGAGGAAGTTAACAATGTTAAGGTTCACGAGGAAGTTAACAATGTTAAGGTTCACGAGGAAGTTAACAATGTTAAGGTTCACGAGGAAGTTAACAATGTTAAGGTTCACGAGGAAGTTAACAATGTTAAGGTTCACGAGGAAGTTAACAATGTTAAGGTTCACGAGGAAGTTAACAATGTTAAGGTTCACGAGGAAGTTAACAATGTTAAGGTTCACACAGGTGAGGAAGTTAACAATGTTAAGGTTCACGGGGAAGTTAACAATGTTAAGGTTCACGGGGAAGTTAACAATGTTAAGGTTCACGAGGAAGTTAACAATGTTAAGGTTCACGAGGAAGTTAACAATGTTAAGGTTCACACAGGTGAGGAAGTTAACAACAGTGCTAAGGTTGAGACAACGCTCTTGTTATAATTCAGTGTTAACTTACAATTTGAAGGATACAGAGTGTTAGCAGGAAACATCGTCCAGAGTGCTGTCCACAACCCATCCTCTTCCAAAAATCCAGTCAAAAATAAATATGTAAATCCAAATTTTTAGCACTCCATCAGGACTAGCACACACACACACCCTCCCTCACTGGTGGTAAGTCGTGTACTGACGCCCCTCACTACCAGTACCTACCACCACCACCAGGTCCACCACCACCACCACTACTAGCCACCACCAGGTCCACCACTACCACCACCACCACTACTAGCCACCACCAGGTCCACCACCACCACCACCACTACTAGCCACCACCAGGTCCACCACCACTACTAGCCACCACCAGGTCCACCACCACCACCACCACCACCACCACTACTAGCCACCACCAGGTCCACCACCACCACCACCACCACCACCACCACCAGGTCCACCACCACCACCACTACTAGCCACCACCAGGTCCACCACCACCACCACCACCACCACCACTACTAGCCACCACCAGGTCCACCACCACCACCACCAGGTCCACCACCACCACCACCACCACCACCAGGTCCACCACCACCACTACTAGCCACCACCAGGTCCACCACCACCACCACCACCACTACTAGCCACCACCAGGTCCACCACCACCACTACCACCACTACTAGCCACCACCAGGTCCACCACCACCACCACTACTAGCCACCACCAGGTCCACCACCACCACCACTACTAGCCACCACCAGGTCCACCACCACCACCACTACTAGCCACCACCAGGTCCACCACCACCACCACCACTACTAGCCACCACCAGGTCCACCACCACCACCACTACTAGCCACCACCAGGTCCACCACCACCACCACTACTAGCCACCACCAGGTCCACCACCACCACCAGGTCCACCACCACCACCACCACCACCAGGTCCACACACCACACCACTACTAGCCACCACCACCACCACCACCACCACCACCAGGTCCACCACCACCACCAGGTCCACCACCACCACCACCACCAGGTCCACACACCAACCACCACCACTACTAGCCACCACCAGGTCCACCACCACCACCACTACTAGCCACCACCAGGTCCACCACCACCACCACTACTAGCCACCACCAGGTCCACCACCACCACCACCACTACTAGCCACCACCAGGTCCACCACCACCACCACTACTAGCCACCACCAGGTCCACCACCACCACCACCAGGTCCACCACCACCACCACCACCACTACTAGCCACCACCACCACCACCAGGTCCACCACCACCACCAGGTCCACACCACCACCACCACCAGGTCCACCACCACCACCACCACCACTACTAGCCACCACCAGGTCCACACCACCACCACTACTAGCCACCACCAGGTCCACCACCACCACCACTACTAGCCACCACCAGGTCCACCACCACCAGGTCCACCACCACCACCACCACCACTACTAGCCACCACCAGGTCCACCACTACTAGCCACCACCAGGTCCACCACCACCACCACTACTAGCCACCACCAGGTCCACCACCACCACCACCACTACTAGCCACCACCAGGTCCACCACCACCACCACTACTAGCCACCACCAGGTCCACCACCACCACTACTAGCCACCACCAGGTCCACCACCACCACCACCACTACCTAGCCACCACCAGGTCCACCACCACCACCACCACTACTAGCCACCACCAGGTCCACCACACCACACACCACCACCACCGCTACTAGCCACCACCAGGTCCACCACCACCACCACCACCAGGTCCACCACCACCACCACTACTAGCCGCCACCACACCACCACCAGGTCCACCACCACCACCACCACCACCAGGTCCACCACCACACACCACTACTAGCCACCACCACCACTACTACTAGCCACCACCACCACCACTACTACTAGCCACCACCACCACCACTACTAGCCACCACCACCACCACTACTAGCCACCACCACCACCACTACTAGCCACCACCACCACTACTAGCCACCACCACCACCACCACCAGGTCCACCACCACCACCACCACCACCACCACCAGGTCCACCACCACCACCACCACCACCAGGTCCACCACCACCACCACTACTAGCCACCACCACACTACTACTAGCCACCACCACCACTACTACTAGCCACCACCACCACCACTACTAGCCACCACCACCACCACTACTAGCCACCACCACCACCACTACTACTAGCCACCACCACTACTACTAGCCACCACCACCACCACTACTAGCCACCACAACCAGCAGGTCCACCATCACCACCATCAGGTCCACCACAACCATCAGGTCCACCACAACCATCAGGTCCACCACCACCACTACTAGCCACCACCACAGCAGGTCCACCATCACCAGGTCCACCACCACCACTACTAGCCACCACCACCACCACCACTACTAACCACCACTACCACCACCACTACTAGCCACCACCACCACCACTACTAGCCACCACCACCAGCAGGTCCACCACCACCACCACTACTAGCCACCACCACCAGCAGGTCCACCACCACCAGGTCCACCATCACCACCACCAGGTCCACCATCGCAATCAGGTCCACCACCACCACTACTAGCCACCACCACCACCACCACCACCACCACCACCACTACTAGCCACCACCACCAGCAGGTCCACCACCACCACTACTAGCCACCACCACCAGCAGGTCCACCATCACCAGGTCCACCACCACCACTACTAGCCACCACCACCAGCAGGTCCACCATCACCACCACCAGGTCCACCACAACCATCAGGTCCACCACCACCACTACCAGCCACCACCACCAGCAGGTCTACCACCACCAGGTCCACCACAACCATCAGGTCCACCACCACCAGCAGGTCCACCACCACCAGGTCCACCATCACCATCAGGTCCACCACTACTAGCCACCACCACCACCACCAGCAGGTCCACCATCACCAGGTCCACCATCACCACCAGGTCCACCACCACCATCAGGTCCACCATCACCAGGTCCATCATCACCACCACCAGGTCTACCATCACCAGGTCCACCATCACCACCAGGTCCACCACCACCAGGCCCACCACCACCATCAGGTCCATCACCACCAGATCCACCATCCTCACCACCAGGTCCACCATCACCACCACCAGGTCTACAATCATCACCACCAGGTCCACCACCACCAGGTCCACCACCATTAGGTCCACCACCACCATCAGGTCCACCATCACCAGGTCCACCATCATCACCACCAGGTCCACCACCACCATCAGGTCCACCACCACCAGGTCCACCACCACCATCAGGTCCACCATCACCAGGTCCACCATCACCAGGTCCACCATCATCACCACCAGGTCCACCACCACCATCAGGTCCACCACCACCAGGTCCACCACCACCATCAGGTCCACCACCACCTGGTCCACCATCACCAGGTCCACCACCACCATCAGGTCCACCATCACCAGGTCCACCATCACCACCAGGTCCACCACCACCATCAGGTCCACCATCACCACCACCATCAGGTCCACCACCAGGTCCACCATCACCACCACCAGGTTCACCACCACCATCAGGTCCACCACCACCATCAGGTCCACCATCACCAGGTCCACCATCATCACCACCAGGTCCACCATCACCATCAGGTCCACCACCACCAGGTCCACCACCAGGTCCACCATCACCACCACCAGGTTCACCACCACCATCAGGTCCACCACCACCATCAGGTCCACCATCATCACCACCAGGTCCACCACCACCATCAGGTCCACCACCACCAGGTCCACCACCACCATCAGGTCCACCATCACCAGGTCTACCATCACCACCATCAGGTCCACCACCATCAGGTCCACCACCACCAGGTCCACCATCACCATCAGGTCCACCACCACCTGATCCACCATCACCAGGTCCACCACCACCATCAGGTCCACCATCACCAGGTCCACCATCACCACCACCAGGTCCACCATCACCACCACCAGGTCCACCACCACCATCAGGTCCACCACCACCAGGTCCACCACCACCATCAGGTCCACCATCACCAGGTCCACCATCACCACCAGGTCCACCACCACCATCAGGTCCACCACCACCAGGTCCACCACCACCATCAGGTCCACACATCACCAGGTCCACCATCATCACCACCAGGTCCACCACCACCATCAGGTCCACCACCACCAGGTCCACCACCACCATCAGGTCCACCATCACCAGGTCCACCATCATCACCACCAGGTCCACCACCACCATCAGGTCCACCATCACCAGGTCCACCATCACCACCAGGTCCACCACCACCATCAGGTCCACCATCACCACTACCAGGTCTGCTACTTCCACCACCTCTACCACTAATATTACCATCACCATCATTAATGTGGTAACTAGTGTACTGACGCATCTCACTACCAGCCACCACAACCACCAGGTCTGTGAAAATTATTATTATTATTATTATTATTATTATTATTATTTTATTATTATTATTATTATTATTATGTAAGCAAATCACCTGCAGGAGGCTTGCAGGATATTGCCTGAACTATTACTTTCAAGTAATTTGGGTGAGGTAAGTGGGACTTAGTCACAGTAGGCCACTGAATTGCAACTCCTTCGACTGCCCACTTCTTCACCACTCTCACGAAAAGCTAAATCTGACATTAAATTAATAATTATAATATTAAAACCAGCTACTCTGGTAAGATTAAAATTATATTAACTGTATAGGCTTGTTTGCTGGGTACACAAAATATTCATATTAACACTTACCATTTAATTACTGTAGATGGATCACACCACAACACCTGCCTAACATGTAGACCCTACACTGGCCAGTTAGTGATCTAAATACAAAGACTAATAGTCCACTTTCCTGTGAGTGATGTCCAAATTTACTTTGCACCATCCACACACGTAATTCTTGAGGTCCCACAAATTTTATGTGCCAATTCTTCAGCAGGACTCATTAACATGGGTTCCTATTACAACTTCAGGCCGAAACACCTCATTATGGCCTCGATGATGCCGGATTATTAAACGATTGTAACAACCAGTGTACACACATTAAATTCAATATAGCATCTCTCTCCCTGGCATCCCTATTGGCTCTTCCACACCC